GCTAGTGAGAATGGTATTCAGGTGAATAACATAATTACAGATTGTCCAGAAAACAAGCAAGAAAACTGATTTTCTTGGAAAACCTGACATTGTACAGACCTGTGGAGACTGCACATAATGACAAACAATTAGAATACTATAATTTGTGAGATTAAGTAAAGATATTGAAATTCAGAATAACTGAGGTAAATCTTGGTACAATCTCTCTTGTTGTTAAGCACATTACATTCGAGCGGTTTTCATTTGAGTTTCGAAAGTAATCAGGCAATTATTTTGGTTTTGGTTTTACTACAGTTTGAGATTGGCTGAGTAGTCTAATTGATTTGCAATTGGTTTGGTTTTAGTTTTACAACACTCAATTGAAAACCGCTCTAAGATAAGTAATTATTTAATAGACAACAAATTTTTAGATCAGTTACAAATGAAAGCAAGGAGCATTCAAGTCCACACCTGCTGCTACCATTGATTCAGATTGCTCATCTGAAGGCAGACACTTCAATAAAGAGTCTTGAACAGCACTCTGCAAAGGAATCAAGAATCGTGTACATGTACATGTAACAAGTACGACCACCATGAATTATTAGCGACATGTAAGTAAGGTTAACAAAAAGTTAGTACACATTGTTAAAATATATAGTTGTAAGTAAGAATTTGAGAGTCTGAATAATTGCATTGGAAACATGAGCTGCATAAGACAGTACATTGAATTTCTTCACTGAGGAATAACGTACAAAATTAAGCTGTTCTTCCAAGTTATCATGAGTCGTTCTAGACATGCACAGTGTATAGTGTAGCTCAGCAGAAAATGAGATAAAATATAAATAATATATGTTCGTATTTTGTAGATGCATGTTTCAAATAATTTGCCTACATTGTTAGAGTTGAAATGTGGATTCTGCTACATGTAGCTTGTGCAGTCACTAACTCAACATTGCTAGCTACATATACATGTACTATTATACATTCTGTATTTCTATAGTCCTAGAAACACAGTTTTTTAGCAGAACAATTTCTGAAAGGCTACCATGTACATTGTTGTACATTCTAAAAGTTGTTACTTAACACTGCACAAATGTCTACATGTACATGTATGTGCTAAAACATTGCATGACAATTTGCATACTGCCTTGTTGTCACATCAATCAGATTATTTTTTTACAGTCCATGATAAACATAGCACTTATCCACAATTTGGTTAATGAATTTATAAAAGAAATTGCATTGTCAAGTACCGTTTTTCTCTTTGCGGCCTTCCGTAGCTTTTCCCAAAAGGCATTCTTAGAATATGCATTACAGTGGGGATTGGTGCCTGTCTTCCAAGAGTCACACTTGAAAGGAAAAATATATATACATTTCCAGATTAAATAGCAAATGTTAACACAGTTACATTGTAAAGCTTCAAATGTGTAATTATGTACAATGTACATTGTACATTTAGTTGTTGCTAATTACCTTTGCAATTGTCACCAACTAGTCTTATCACAGAGTTAACTTTTCATGTATAAACAACAGAGCACTTGTTACAGTTTAAGTCTAAAGATTGTACAAGTACAGTATACACTTTTGTAAGTGCATGTGGTTACGTGTCTATTCTGAACTTTTGTAAACTGCTGACAGCCTGTTTTTCTCTGAAAATTTAGTAGGGGTTATGAGGCGAGACACTTAAACCTTAAGTGAAATGGAATGAGACATGGGCATGGCACATGACTTCTTTCCTACTCGGTCATACCACTCTTGTCTTGCCTTCTTCCCTACTTGGCCACAGCCACACTGCCCTTTTGCGTTTGCAATTGCTGAACACTCCTCTACATTATAAGTAACCCTTAGACAAAAACCCAGTTGTCAGCAGTCTAGAATGTTTTGGAAACAGCCTAACTCCAATAAACATCCTCCCTCAAGTTTTCAGAATTCAAAGTAATATTATTATCATTTCTAATAATTAGCCTCTTGGCAATAAAAGGTGATTGGAGTATCCAAACCTGCTACCGCTCATGTCACAATCAACTGAGTAAAGCTTCACCCCACTGAAGTTCTTTTGTCTAATAGAGACTCGGATTTAAAATAAATGAAATTATTACACCTCACCTCTTTCACAAGTGCATCACAGACATAGCAGTAACATTGCTCACAATAGCTCTCATTGCATGACACTGTTGCTGTGGTTACATTACTCTGAACAAATTTATAAGCTGCGCAGTGCTCCCTGGCATGTGGTAGATTTGTAGCTGGCTTGAAATACGTGATGGCTAAATCCTTCTTAGGCTGATTGTCTGTGGTATCAAATTTCTCTGATTTCCTTTCATTGTCAATTTTTTGCCTCTTTCTTGGAGAATAGTCCTCTGGTAAAATAAACACAACGTCATCATCCTCTTCTTCGTCACCGACACAAATAAGAGGAATATGTTTTTCAGATGTTTCAAGCTTGACATCTAGTTCACATTGTTGTTGTTCTGTTAACCTTTCCTTGAGTTCGTTAAATCTCTTTGAAAGTTCTTCTCTTTCTTTTTCACAAAATTCAAGCTGCAAAATGTGACACAAAAAGACGTAAAAACACTGTCCATGTTCAATGCCTAACAACACACGCATTTATTTGCCTTTAGTTAGTTACAACAGACATGTATTATAATACTAGAAACACACATCATAGCTGGTAAAATCTACTGAGAAGAACTGTATGTATGGAGCTAATCTGGCCAAGTGGCTGGGTGTCTGATTCAATAAAGTACATGAACACGTACAAGGACAGCATTCAGATAATGCCAAGACTTAATAAGTAATTACAGTACTTATTTATAGTCTTTGAGGGCTTGGGTTCATAGTAAGGTAACAATGAACTCACTTCTTTTAAGGGTTTGGAAATAATTAGAAAACTTACCCTTCGTTTAAGCTGAGCTGCTCTTTGGAGAATATTCTCATCACTGCATGGTGTCAAAGTAGTTTTAGAAGGTAACTCTTCCCTTTTGCGCTTCTTCTTTGGTGAGATAGTTCTACTACCACGCACCTAAGAAAACATTCATTACATCAGTGACAGGTAACATATCACACATCAGAGGGTGAGAAAAATCTGGCAACTCAGGCTATTTGACATAATTCACACAGTAAAACCACATGTATACCTGCATTTTTAACGGTCACGTACAATATAAGGTAGATGCAAAAAAGTACATGTAATTAGATGCTAATTTTAATTATCCAAGACTTTAATTTTATCTTGTCATCAACAACTTAATATATTTAAGTTTTTTTACAATAACTGCAGAAATTCTTGCATGCTCATTGGCTAATTTCATAGTCAATAAGCAGGCAGATACATGCATTTATAATTTATGTGATGTTGACGTAGATAATTTGACAATTTGTTATTGTAAAATTATCGTCGAGAGGATCCACAGGCTACTTTGACAATATTATGAAGAAATTCATTGTTAATAACAGGACAGACCCATAAACAACTGATGTCAATTTGTTAAATTTCACCTGTTTGATATTTTTATTATTCATATGTTTAATATTCAATTGTTTATTTTTCATTTGTTTACAATATTCCACGGTAGAATAACAGCGAAAGGCATTTAGCTATACTTTTCTTTTTCGTTCTGGTTTTAAGATGTGCATGTTGTAGAAGGCAAGAAAACACTTCTCTATCAATAAAAATAGCGGACGTGTACTGAAGACAAAATGAAGCAATGTTTAATAATAGCTATAAACAGCTTCGAGCTTCCGGTGTCAAATGTCAAATATTATGAAAGCTTCTCTTCTTTCATAGATACACACCATCAATGCAGTAAATACAAAACTAGGAATTCTTAGTTCTATACAAATGGCAGCTGAGGAGTTTTGAAAGCTCACAAGCACATTGTTTCATAATGGAAAACACCAACAGACGAACGAAATGCACATGAAATCGATCTCGCGCGAAATGCACACATGCCGCGGTAAATTTCGTGCCAACCAACAAGAGCTGAATTTTTACTCTGTAAAAGTAGCCTCATTAACTGTAGAATGAACTTTCTTCCTTTTAAACGTTAAAATTTAAATGAGCGCTCAATGCACAACAAGCAACTATTCAAAAATTGCAGGTCCTTCGTAAACAAAAACATAGGGCTTTGAAAGATGAGGAAAACCGCTAAACAACATTGCTGAAGAATCTCTATTGCAGCGCTTCCAAAGCTCAAATTAAACTTTCAATATTAACTAGGGATTTCTAACGCTGGATTTTACTGTTAACAGCAGAGATAACGCCAGAATCACGACAACTGATCATTAAAAGCTCACTCACTGTAACTTCCACGACTTCAACCTCATCGTCGTCCATCTTGGATGCGCGCAATGTATTTGTGTCATGTGACTTTCAAGATTGGCGCCAGTTGTGACGTCTTTTGATTGGCTTCTTATTAGAGGCTGAAAGTACCCGACACCCACCCCGTAATATAGCTTTAGTTGCACCGATTTGCAAAGGACACAGTAGCGTTCATTGAAGAGAGACCAAATAGTCTTTCAAAGCTTCAAAACGCCCTTATCCCTGTTATTTTTATGGGTTAAGAAATTCGCCAAAATTATTCAAAACAGTGGACAGAAAATTTTCCTAGGGTAGTCCCCACAGTACAAATACTGCAACTGCAGCAATGTGCGGCCGCGAAAAAGGCGGGAAAATTTGAAAGTTCTTTTGGAGCCTCTTGAGAATGGCTTCATTAACGAAAGCTGAAAATTTGCAGCGTGTTTAAGTTCCTTTTCCACCGATAAAGATGACATTTTCTTAACTGGAAGTTAGACAATATTCTCCCCTATACCACCAGAAGACAAGTCACAGGAAAGAGATGATGCTAAGCTCGTGGAATGAGGGAATTCAACAGATTTAAACAAGATTTTCAGACAAAATACTCGACTAGCTAGCCAAGGTCGGCCAAGAGCAAGTATGGTATTTGGCGGTAGGTGAACTTTCTATCTGGACAATGAAAGAAAAAACGTCAGGCGATAGATATTTAATTAGCTGAGATATTTGAAGACATTTTAGTGTTTGCTCGGCGAAAAAAAAAGCAAAATAAAACGAAGCCAAAGTCGATACAAATTAAAAATTTTGAAATGCTTAATTAGCAACATTGTTTCCACTCGATTTAAAATTCGTAATACAGTCCTTTTCTTTTGCACGTGGCGCTAATATTTCAACCTCTCAAATTCAAACATTCGGTTCAGTTTTAGTTTTCGCTTCCGGCTAGAACACCGGAGTCGAGCCACTTAATTACCTCAAGAAAGTTTGAAAAAAAAAAAAAAAAAATGAGCGACGGCATTCTTCACTGGTAAACTTGTAGACTGCGCCGTTGACTATAACTGGCTTCAGATTATCAGGATCACAAAATTATCGCGACGAAACATGCTTTGGCAATTCTGTTTACAACTAGATTTTCTCAAATTTTGATGCCATGATCGCTTTCCGACCTGTTGCCTCGTAAACCAACTCAATTGCAAAAGCCCTCGTACAATACAGTACAAGTGTATGGTCTTGAACCCGTCAGTGGTACAGATTATGACCGACCTGGGGCCCGTTTCTCGAAAGCCCCGGAAACATTTCGGGCCCGTAAAGTTCCCGGGGCTTTCGAGAAACGGGCCCCTGGTTGGAAAAAGGTTATCCATTTCGGAACAGTTTTGCTCTGAACAGGGATCGAGTGTTATCATGGCTTTGCTGTCTGGTTTAAAATTAGCAATGGATAGTTATTGTTCATCTCTTGAGAAGTGTAAGGGTAGTCTCTTCTGAGAACATTAGGGTACCCAATATTCAAGCCAATAGTGGTATAAAGTTTTGGGTTACGTCTGAAATAGGGAAATAAGATATGTATACTTTTTGTGTGACGTATACAGCTACGGTGAGAGGGTTTTATGGAACACTGCCATCAAACACCAGGGAATTAGCCTCCGTTTTTGAAACCATCATGGTTTTCCGGCGAAAGCGCGCCGACAACGTGAGCAGTTGAACTTTAACTTTTTATCATTGTCGTCCACTTAACCTTCTCTGATCATGAACAAGGTTCTGGGAGTCAGATCTCCGAAAGTTAGTACCCAGTCCCACCTGAGTGTCGAC